CGCAATACGAAGACAGAAATATCGCAAGGTATCGGACACGAAATCAACTTGATGCGTTCCACCGGGTTAAAAGCATCGATCCGCGTCTTTATCGTCATGGCAACACGTGCACTTATACAATTATCCTTGTGTGGAGGCTAGGTGATGTATGTTTCCATACGGTGGCAACAGTGACGGTATGCGCGCACACACGATCGCGCAAACGCGACACAGAAGCGCGCCGATTACGTACGATCGTGTAAGTACGTACCTCTCCTCTATTTGTTATCTTACTCTATCTTACTTGCTCTATTCTTATCGTAACATGCTAAGAATGCATTTTCACGGTTTCACTAACACGCACCTTCCGTGTGACGTGCGCGAAACGAACTCGTCTCGTCGAAATAGTCTCGTGGTAGAGTGTCGCGCTCGATTAATTCTCGTTAACAAGATACGAAGTTGAACATCTACGAATTTCGTTCGGTGTATAATTATCGAAAAAGGTTAGAAACAATCGTCAACGGAAAACGTGTAAATTGCATTCGAACAACGTGGGTTCCGGAAGAGTGTTGCGCATATATATTTCGAGGAAAAGTGAAAACAACTTTCGATCGTGTGCATGATGATATTGCATATGATTAAACGAGATGATATTATTGACATTAGGAACACGCTAAATATTGTATGCGTATCATGCAGGCTAATCTGTGTGTGTATACCCGCGAGACGTATAACGAGTTAATGTTGTGCATCTATATAGTAGTAATTTTATGGCATATTCCTTCCAGTAAATTCACGTAATTAAACATCAAATAACTAACGTACCTATTAACCAAAATTCCTAGAAACGTATTTTCTTAGAATGAAATACAAGATATAGAATTAGTTTTATATAGAAATGACATAGCTATTCAGGAAAGGGAGTCGATTCGAATTGAAGCTGCACTAAAACGACCAGTAGCTACGCAGTTAATATATAAAGGCCAATGTCTGACAAACTCCAATGTGATAAAATTCTACGAAGGGATGGAGTTTTATCCGAGCAGAGAAAATAACCATGGGTTAAGTGATAGCGATGGTATTTCATCGTCAACAATAGAGCATGTCGAACGAAGGGACGAAGTTCAGATTCATTGATAATCGCGTGCACGTTCGATGTATGTATAGCCAACATTGGCTCATCCTCCCGTTTGACTTGAATTTAAATATTGAGTCTTATTATCGCATAGCATTAGTTAATTTATTCCAAGACCGAGTAATATGCAACCAACTGATATCTGTGAAGTATCAGAAGCAACCGTGAATCATGTTTACTAATACACTGCAACGAGATGATTATACATGCGAGCGCGTGAGGCGTCCATATTGAAAACAGCATAACCTCACTACATGTTTTGTAGTGTGTTTTATCCTTGACAATAATGTATGGAACCGCGGCATTCTACCTTAATCGTTTGTTCAATTTAACGCATTACCATAAAAGATCACTTGCTATCTTTCTTGAGCGAACTGTAAATACACGATTCTCAAAAAGTGTACGCACTTTTATGTATAACCTTGATAACTGACATCACTGTAAACACGCATTTTGTTATTAAATTTCATGAACAAAAATACGAAAAATAGTCTTAATTTGTAAGATATTTATCTTAACATTGTATCGTTTCGAAGGGAGAATCTCGACTTTTTTCCGTAAAAGTAGAATACCGTTTATGTTGAATACACTTTTGTTTAAAATTTTGTTTATAGTTATTCACTGAACGCAATCGAAACCACGTAATTAATCCCCACACGTTCGGCCATGTTGTGTTGATACCATGGAAAACGATTAGAGGGACCGAGAACGCAGCAGGGCTATCTCGTCGACTGGCAGGCGAACCATTTCGCAAATTTCCTGGCGTACCAATCTATCCACTTACCGGCTGTGGCTTTGGTGTTTTTCCCATGATGCCTCCGGTTCTTCTTCTCCGATAATCGACCCTTTAGTAACATCGTACACGCACTTTATCACGATTTTTATCACTTGTCTTACACTAGCTACGCATTATTATTCACCCGCACGGCAGCCATTTGCCCTCTACCTACTCGGCTATAAAGCCTGCCTCGTCGTTTCGTTTAGCCTTTGGCTTTCGGCCATTCGACAGCCTGTGACGTCACATGGTTCTCGGTGGCGTAACTAGACTTTCCTTACACTAGCATTATTGTATTCCAAAATTATAAAACTATAAAAGCATTTCAAATAAAGCTACTCACATACGATACCTTGTTATAAAATTTGTAGTATTTAGTACTGATGTAAAAGACAAAATTGTCATTGTATGAATTAATATATATTCTTTTCAAAGGACAGGGCCTCGTGATCTGTGATAAACAGGGCCATGCTGATGAGATTTCGAAACGATCTGTTGTATCGACAGTTGGTTAACTTACAATCCTAAACTACAAAATCACAGCGGCAAAATCATACGTTTTAAAAAAATAAAAAATTTTAATTAAGATAAATTTTAATAAA